TTTGGTTGAGAAATAGCGGATAGCATTGTTAGATTATGTAAAATTTTCTATTATTATTTCATTTAGATAAAGCGATCAATGCTTGTAATTTCATAAGTTCCAACAATATGACAACTATTACAAAAACTATTCTAACTATCACCACCACTGCTACAAAACTAACTACTATAAGTAAATGGGTACTATTTACACTGTTTACATTTTTTAATTTTTTATTTCGAAATTTACAATTTTTTTTAAATTTAAATTTAAGATTTGACTAATCAATATCTCCGAAAAATAAGCTATCTTATGTGAATATACATGATGTTTGATTTTTTGGGGTGTAATTATATATAGTCAATACATTGCAGTAAGAGAAGGCAAATATAAAGAAATTTTTGAGGTTTGATTGTATATATAGCGTTATACCTTCTGATTGATACCTATATTATCTCTCATTTTGAACTAATTTCTTCTTTGAGAGATTTGTCATTTGAAATCATTCGTTAAACTAGTTGCTTGGTTATACCTTTTTATTATATCTCTAATTAAAAAATATAATTAAAAACTTTCTCTATCGTTAATGAAAAAATTAGATTTATTCATATCATATTTGAATGCCATAAATATATTAGTTTGGCTGGTATAATTAAATTTGATTTTACATATGACTTTAAAATTAAAAATTAATGATTTAAAAATCAAAGAAATAATAAAATTATCATAGGTAAAGTTCAAATTACTTCTCTATTCTATTTAGCCTTGATTTTCTCCAACATTTTTTTTGGCATTTCTGAGGCGTAACTTCCATCGATATGCCATATGTTCATCCTTATTAACACCACGTCCTGCCAAATAACACGAAATCACGTGTTCATAACCTTTCAAATAGCCTTTACAAGCAGAACGGTAAAAACAGATAAAATATTTCCTGTACTGTTTATCGAAATAATACTTATTTGTCAGATTCAAATATCCATGTACATGATCCCTATCTGCAGCTTTTTTATAAAATTTTAAGCGGTAGTCTGAATTATGTTCATGCCATGGATGAATAAAACCCACTTGATTAGCCGCAAATGCATCGGATCCGGCTGCCGCGATGAGGTAAAAACGCAATGCATTTTTTAAATTTCCAGTAGTCCCGAGTCCACATTGTTCAAAAAAGCCTAGAAGGCATAACCAATACGCGGGAGAACTCAAACAATTCTTTTTTAGTATTTGGTAAATTTTTTCAGGCGTCTGCTCGTTTTTTTGACACCATTTTTCTATTGACTCAGCCACGTCGAAATCATCTCCTGTATTTAATGTTTCCGTATCAATCAACACTTTGATGTGCTTTATTAGATGCTTATCATGGTCAGATATCTCATCAGAGAATGGAAACTCTGTATTTTGACATAGATATTTTGGAGATTCAGGTATTTTTGCAGGGTAAAATTTCATAGTTTCATTATTAAAGCCGAGGCTCCAATGTTTAGTAAATATGCTGTCGCAAATCTTTATATATTTATTATCGTCGATTGTCATTGTTTTTCTCAATATTTTTTATTTTTGCAAAGTTTGATTGTTTTCACTATTAAAACCGGAACGCCGATGTTTGGTCATTGTCATTGTCATTTTGCCAAGAATTTTTTTATGGCTGATTTGTTTTTGAACAATCAATCATTTTTAGAAATTGCGTAACGGTAATATAAAAATCATTACCATATGACGCGGCATGAATGACACGGGAAGCACAAAGTGATCTGTGTCATGGAATCGTATGACTGGTATCGCTCAATGACACCTGGATTTATGGCACAATAAATGAATCAAATTTTATAATTATTTTTTATCAGAACTTCTAAGCTTTTAGAATATATCTTTTTTATAAAAATTGGTCCAGTAGAAATTCTGTAATTCTCATTTGAACTAATTAATCACTTTTGTATTTATTAACTTCATCTGATATATTTGAGAGAATTTACATATTAGTTTAATAAAATTTATATGATTAGAATCAGCAAAACTTGCTCTATTTAATGATATAATTACATTTTCTAGATAATTTTTCATTAATGAGCCATAAATCAATTTCTTTATATATATATTTTACATGATAATTTAATATTTCAGATCGATCAGTATGTGATTTTGAAGTGATTTGATCTTGATTTTTTGTTTTTATTACATTATCAACTATGAATTTAAATATCTTAATATTTTACTAAGTTTACTTATTTTTTTTCTTTTTATGGACTAATAATTTTTATTATATTATAATATATAAAGTGAATTATATAAAAGCCATCCAATATTTTGAATGACTAAAACTTTGTATCTAAAAATAAAATTTTAAAAAAGAATATATTATTAGATAGTTTTTGATAAGAGTTATAATTATATATATTTCTTTTTTAAAGTATAATAATAATTTATTGAATAGTTAAACTTTTTTTTATGGATATTTATTATAAAAAATAATAAATTATAAAATTTTTAGCATCAAGAAGTCTTTTCTGATTGGCAAAATCTTTACATAATGCATGTGATTTTATATTTATAGTATCTTATTGATTAGTTTTGTATGATATATATAATCAATTAGAGTAGACTAATAAAGAACTTTAAATAATATCATTTTTAATTCTTAAAGATTGCTTTTATGTATATACTTAGTGATATCATGAATTATTTTTTTATTTTAAGAGTAAGAAAAAAGAGAAATATATAATCTCTCAATTTTCTAAATATAATTTTCATTTTCTAAATTTGATTCAAATATAATTTCTTAATTTCTCAGATGTAACTTATTTTTATTTTATATAATCAAATTCTTTAAAAATACTCTTTAGAACTTGATAATATAATTAATATTTTTATTACAAAAATAACAGCCCTTCTCAAAAATCTTATTTATATATACTTATATATTAATCAAATTAATATGTAAACTGATGAATTCTGATTAAAATAATAGACTTTAATATATATGAAATTATTTCTTTAAGATTTTTGAAAGTATAATTATAATATAAGTGTGAATTACTTTGTATTCTTCTAAAATAATTCTATATAATTAAGCTTATAATGAAACTTCAAATAAAAATATATATATGATTAGTTACTTTAATAATCTCTTGCAAATAGTTTTTTGAGATGTAAAATCAAGCTGTTGATCAAGAATATTAGTTATATAATATTATAAATTTATTAAATTAATATATGATTTGTATAAATCATATTATTTTATCAATTCTTATACTTATAATTCATATTCTTTAAGAATTTGCTAAATATTCTTTAATTTTATTATTTTGTTAATATTAACAAATATCATAATATGAGATAATCTATTAAACATTCTTCCATTATGAAAAAGTGATTATTTATTTCTATTTTTTAGATTTATTTTCAAAATTATCAAAATATTATTGATATATATATATTATAATTACTATTATTATCAAATAAAAAAGTATTATTTTATCAAAATATATTCTTTCAAAAATAAAAACAATTCTGTTAATTATTTGTTTTATAAGAACTTAATTTATTTATTATCATTATTAAAATTTGAATATATAATAATATATACTTTAGTATATAAAAATTACTAGTTATCAGAAAGCAAATTATTTGTAGCTTATTTTTTTTGAAAGATAAAAATATTTAATTAATTTATAAATAAAATTATTTATATACTAAGATCTTAAGATTTATATTAAAATTAATTTTTTTTATAAAATTCTATATTTTAATAATATTAATATAAAAAACTAATTTATTATAAGTAATTAGAATAGGTTTAGAAATATTAAATAGAAATATTAGTAAAATAACTCACTTCATATTTTCTTTTTTATATATTACTATTTGAGATTATAAATTGATTATTTATTCAAGAAATTAATTTTAATATATTATTATATCATCATATTTATAATTATTAAAGTAAATATTCTTTAAATAATCTTTATAATTTCAACTAAAATAGTATAGTTAAAATTAAGCTATTATTTTAAGACTATTTTCTTTTTCTTGAATTAAAAAATTAGTATAGCCTTCTTTTTAACAAACTTTATAAATTAATAAAGAATCAGGATAAATTTATTTATAATAAATATTAAAAAATATATAACTTAAAGTCTTTATAATACAGAAAAGAGAATTTTAAGTAATATTTATAATATCATAAATGAAATTTATCTTTACTTAACTATTAATTTATTTATAAATAAATAATTTATATATATTATAAACTTTTATTAATATTATATATTAGAAATTTATTAGTTAATAACTTAGAAAATTCTTGATCTTAAACAAGATGAAAAAATTAATTTATTATATAAAATTATATATTTTCAGACTTTTTTGTCAATAAAATATCAAAAAATATTAAATTAAATTTATTATAATTATTATTATTATCATTATTATTAGAGTTAACTACTTTATTAAATAGAAAATCTATCTTGTTATGAATAAAATTTGCTTTATTATTGATAGAAAAATTATTAAAAAACTAGTTAGTAATTTTGCTAGAATCTGTAACTACCTTTTTTAAGATTATTCTCTTATTATATAATATTAATTCCGCAAAGCTGATATAAAATTATTTTATTATTTATAATATCATTATTTTTTATTAAAATAATATCAAAACTTAGTTTATTATATTTAATATCTAATGCTCATATGTCAAATTAATTATTCACAATATTATTATCTTTTGTTCAAGTAATATTAAAGCTTAGTTTATTATATTTGGTATTTGATACTTGTATATTACAGTTCTCGCCAAAAGTAATGGGAATTTCGGATTGGGATTTTTAAAATTTTATTGTTCCACCATTTCTTGTGCAATGCTCCTAATGTATTAAATAGTTTCTCGGGGATGGGTACACAACATGACACTACATTTTTTTTTCCAAGTTAAATTTAAAAATTTCGCTAGCTAGTGCATCAAATGGAGGAACCGTCACTTGCTCGCTGCCGGAGTGTTTTTCGAGTATTATGGGCAAATGGTGTCCATACGCTGGCGCGTTTGGTTGAAATGACGGGCATACCGAAAACCACTGTATACCATTATGTAGCTAAATTAAAAAAAAATGAAAAAATTGACCCCCTTTCTCGTTCTGGCAGACCAGTCAAATTGTCACCTTGAAAAAAGAAAAGATTGGAAAATTTTATTAAAAAAGATTGTGGAATTCCCGCCAATGAACTCGCAGAAAAACTCAATACTTCCTATCCAAATTTAAATGTTTCGGAACGAACTATTATTAGAATACTGACAGAACTTGATTGGCAATGTATTCGACCAAAATCTGTACCACTATTAAATCCAGCTCGCCGAGAACGTCGCATCGAATGGGCCAAAAATCACTTGCATCAAAAATGGAGCCGGATAGTTTTTTCAGACAAAACAACCTTTCAAATGTTTCGAAATACTACCAAAGTTCGATATAAAACTGGTGAAGAGCCACTGGAACGCGTTGTTATCAAGCATCCATTCAAGATTCATGTGTGGGGTGCATTTTCAAAACGAGGAAGAATCGGATTTCATATGTTCACAGATACTATGGATGGAAACCTATATCGACAAATCCTTTCTCAACATCTTGTTGAAGATGCACCAAGAATTATGGGTCGTGGTTGGATTTTCCAACAAGATAAT